TAAATTCATTGTTTTCAATATGTGATGACATATTTATTTAAACAGAGTCTAACAAAAATTTCTTTATGAAACTCCTAAAGTGTAATCAAATCAAGGTTCTGTCTTACATAAGAGTATTTTTATCCATGCTTTCATAGCATATATCCTATAGTAGTAAAGTTGGAATAGTGGCGGCCTACTAGTATTATAATGGAGTACTATATATATATATATATATATATATAGGGGTACTACATTTTTGAATTATCAACGTTACTCATAAAAAATTCCTGATTACAGTAGTCAAACTACTTTTAAATTTAATTTTCTGGATTTGATTCTTATAACGCAACAATTCTGCTAAAACATTAATTTAAATGTATGTGCCAGTCAAGATTAAATTTCCTTGAAGCCCCTCGATTGCGATGCATAGGCACCGGAGTAGGGTTGGTCATGGGGTTTGAAACCCCTTTTTTTCAAAAAGACCTTTCTAGGAAATTATCAACAGGAAAAGAAATTTAAACCCGATCATATTGATAAAAACAAACGAGGATACTAATCAGTATATTCCAAACAGCTCCATTGTGGTGGTGTTTCATAAGAACAATGAGAGCTCCACAAACAAAACATGCAGCTCAGAGAAAGAAACATCACCACAATCATCCACCTGAGCTACAAATTTTCCCCGCCATCTCCATTTTTCACATTTAGCATTAGTAAGCCGAATCGACTATAAGTTCAATGAAATAGAGCGTGTATTTAGATTCATAAACAAGATTTCCAATACATTAACAAAAAGAATGATATTTCTTTTACGTATTTTAAAATCATTTACGTATGAAGAGCTCAGCATGTCAATTCACGGGTTGAGTAAGCTAATCTTTGGAAAATAGTATTCATTATTTCCTTGTATAATGTTAAAAATGATGTTCTCTCAGTTGTGTTACCCTTACTCTTGACGATGCGCGGTATGAATTTGATGGTTTTAAATAACAAGAATATTTAAATTGACGTTTACTTGTTCAAATTTTAAATTGTATGTAATAATTAAAATGACTGTTCGAAAAATTCCTCAAAATATTTTTTTACAATAGAATTACAATAAATTCATTAACCTCAGGCTTTTCTCGAAAAATTAGGAACGAACATAAAATTGAAAATCACGCTGTTTTTTACAAAAGAGACATTGAATTAATAATGCATGATTTTCACTTAACTACGTAAATAACCAGGGTATAATGAGACTTACTGAGATTTTTAATGTTGCGTAAATAACAGATGATTTTTTCAAAAACGTTTTTTCTAAAATCACTTAAAATTGTCTGGAAAAAATTTAAAACAACTTCCCAAAATAGTTCAAAATATTTTTGAATACTAAAATTGATATCAAATTATTTTCAAGAGCAGTGTTAAACTCATTAGGGTACACTTATTTGACAAAGTAGCTCAAGCCACTGTTTCACTGTGAATCCTCAAGTATTACGTTTCAAGTTAATTTATTAAGAAGTATTATTACTGTTATTATTATACTATCAAATTAGGCACCGGCATTCCGATTTCACCTACATTTCTACATGTTTTAAAAAAACCGCGATATTTTAGATGAACAGGTTTTAAAAACCAGTTTCATGTTAAATACAAATCAACATAACCCACAGAACCATTACCGGTTGAGTTGGGGTTGTGCATTTATGAAACGTATTCAACCAAAATAAAAAATCGGTTTAGTGTTCATTATCTTCAATAGTTCAATACTCAATGCTGAACTATTTCTAAAGCTGTGTATAATTTGTGATGTGTATTTCTACTCATAATGCGTTTTTTTTAAACCATTGAGATATTGCTCATTTGACAATTTATTCCTTTGAAGCAAAATGCTATTTTAGCAATGCGAGAATTAAACGCCGCTTTCAAAAAGAAAAACAAACTGAGTATAAAGGTAGAACTAGGCGGAAGATGTCAAAATCTCATCCGAAGAATATAGATAGCCGTCTATTTATCAAACTTTTATTTCCGTTTTCCTGTAATTAATTACAAGTAATGAAGCGACATAAATGTGTGCATTTTGAATTTTTTTTTCTTTAATCATGAGTTATTCTAATTGATTTGCTTAACTAGTGAGATAGTATTTTATTGTAATTCACCACTAACTGTTAGTTGAAGATTGCAAAGTAGATGTATGTTAAAAAAAAGAGTTGATCAAAATGATGTTGCAGGCGCAAAAGAGCATTCAATATACAAATAAGTGGTATATTCCGACTTTTAACATCAAACAAATATCCTGAAATTAAAGAGAAACGTAGTTTACAATACGCATATAACAGATTTTTTATGAAATGAAAATTTTGCTGGCTAGAAAATAACCATTTTTTATGTATGGAACTGTTAGTCATTTCTAGTAGTTCGTCGATATCGATGCGTGCCTAATCCTAATAAAATATGCAACCTTTCATTGTTCATTTCCACATCTTTTACCGATGTTTGTTCATTTGTTCATTTTTTATCTGCAAACTTTGTGACGAACCCCTAAATTATGTTTCTTCTTTTTTAGTACGGCTATATCATGTGTTAGTTTACCAGAAAAAAAAACTGATTAAAATTTCCCTATACAGGGTAGATAACCAACTGAGTAGTTATATGAAATATTCTCTTTCAAATGCATTGCCATTTTCTTCATTTTTCATGCGAATTTTCTTTGTTCGATAAATAAAAATACGCTTAAGCCAGAAAATGAAAAAAAACCCTAAAGTTCTTGTCAGAAATCTAATTACATTTTCATCTATAATGAAAAGCTTGTTAATCAATAAATGTCGAATAGAATACATTTTTTTACAACCTGCTGATTTTGTTCATATTAAATAGCTAGTTTTAAAGGAGGATTAATTAAAGCAAAAGAAATGTTTCCCTGAAAATGCTTATGACAACAATTTATCAGTAATGCTGTGATTGGTAATCGACAAACAACTGTATTAGTGGAAAGATGAGAGCAAATATATATATTCGATTATTTGAAAACAGTTTTGAAATAAGAAATATGAATATTAAGAAATATGATTTTGTCAAGCATTCAATTTCTTTATCGCATGGAGTGAACTATTTTGTTACAATAACGGGGACAGACATAAAGGAAATAATTTGACATTTGATTCATTCGACTGAGTATTTTCATTCAGAATTTTGGTTTGATATTAAAAAGAAAAATGTGCTACTAGCGATAGTGAATACCCAGAGGGATAAATGAAACCGAGTGTTCTCAGCTTTACTAATAAATTCATTACATAAATATACATATATAATGCTAAGTGAACAACCAAAGAATAGATTGTGTGAAAACAAATTTGACCTTGAAACATACCAATCTCAAATGACAATTTTATCTAAGCTAGCCAAAATTAGTGATAAGCCTGATAACGCACATTCTGACCCGTACACAACAATGGACATTTAACCTGTTAAAATTTACTCCGAATATGTATTATGGGTTATTTTTTAAATGGCTATGAATAGAATAAACTATTCAAAAATTAATAAAACCTCATTGTACAGCTCTATTTTACTATTTCGTCATTTATATTATCAAACCTTGTGGCAAGATCAAAATGCTAGAAGTTGTTATTATTTAAATGCAAACTATTAGTGGCTGATGTCCCATTTGGACAGATGTAGTTGATGTTTTACAATTTATGATTTCATCATTAGACTTCGTGAATAAGCTGAAAATATGGACAACAAAAAACAATTAAACTCGCACAATACACACTTATTTCGTGTACTGAACTGATAGTTATCATCCATAAATTAGATCCATATAATTTTGTACAACATGTTCACTGTTTTTATATCATTTTTATGATATTTCTCATTAGAAAAAACATTATTATTATTACTATTATTAATTTCCCCGTTTACTAGCGGAAACTACAGTTATGAAATTGGAATTTCTGACTGTGACGTCTTTTCGACAGTGGTATAAGTCTAGATCGGCTGGAATTATTCAACACTTGAAATCTTTGGAATTTATAGCGAAGCTTAACTGTATTAATACTACTGTATACAATCAATATCGACAAATTTATCATATTTGTAAACTTGGAAAAACCAAATGTACCTTTATCAAAACTGACTTCCAAGCTTAGGCTTAAAACGAATCAAATGAACAATTTTTTCGAACTACATGGTTAGGTCGAGAAAATCAAATGGGATACAAAATGATAGGAAATTCAGAAACAAGAGCTATATTAGACTGAAGAAAGGGCACCTTCTATATAAACTTATTTTTTAGCTCTATGGATAATCAACGATTGATACTTACATGCCTAAAAACTAAGTATTGTAGCTCCGGAGCTTCGTGAACTACATAAATCTGCCCTTGGAATTCATAAGAACTTTCGTTTATACTTAAACATATAGATCCACAGAAGTTGGGCGCCGAGGTGAAATAAGACGTGAAACATCAAAATTATATTTATAAGCCTCAGCAGTCGAACGTGAAGTAAATCCGCCGTTTAGCTTGACAATCTCGTCCAGGTTCTTACGAAAATTACCGAATATGTTTGATTATATTTCTTTGAAAAAGCTTGGATCAGATTGTTGAGCGTCACGTTGGATTTAATTTAAGTTCCATCGTTACGATTTATAAATACAAAAGTCCTCTTCAATATCTTGCATAGCTACCAAAAACGAGACTTGAATGTTTTCGTAACGCTTTTAGTGAAGCTTTAAACTGTAGTTGCAAAATATGGCTGTACTAACTACCCAGTTCTTTAGCTGTCAGCGGACTCTTTAAATATTCATCCACATTTTAGGTTTTAAATAACAATATTGGTCAATTATTTCATGTCACAGCATTTTTGGAGCTGCAATAACCCACATCAAATACACAAGACAATGTCAATCAAAAAAACCATCCTCAATGTTAAACAGCACACACTGAATAAAATTAACAATATTACCTGAATGGTACAGGAAGTTGTTATTAAAAGTGCATAAATAAATAGTTTATTGAAATCGGATACACTTACTGATTGTTACACAGGGGACTGACTATTGAACGATTGATTGTATGTAAAAATACATTTATCAACATATTGATTTCATATTAGAAGATTTTGACTGAAATGAGAAATGATTCTGTCACTGATAAACGGCCTCAGCTTGAAAATAATTTAAATGAAGTATTTTTGTTGTAAAATAATTTTAAGATAATGCAGAAAGCAGTAGAAGATGAAAGGGAAGGAAAATTTTGAGCTTATCGAAGCAACGTTTATGACCAATACACTTGGCCTATTAGTTTGATTGGTGGATTTTATTCCAATACTATTTATTTCTCTCACTACCAAAACTTTACACAATATTGGGAAATTTATCTAGCATGTTTTCGAAAAACGGATCTCTTATATACAACTTGAAATATTGGTCAGTGTTAGAATGTTCGAACCAACTAATTTTAACTCTAAGAACCAGGAAGTAATAGTTAACACATGACTAGTTTATGTATATACATATATTAGAGGTATTTGTTATACCAGTGAATTCAGACTTAAGGATAACGTTCTACCAAAGAAAGGTTAACTCTTCTACACATACGTTGTTAATGATCAAATATCATGAGGTTGTTTTAGAATAGACCAAACACCTCAACACATATCGTGTACAAATACTGGGAACTTGATTTATCTATTCATCTATCTCTTATAATAATATTAGATGAAGTTATTCGTTTCTAAATGCTGATTCATAAGTACAGCTTTTCTGTCTGCTTAGAGAAAAGTGATATAAATGTGTTATGATAAATTAATACAGTTTCAAAAGTTCTAAATATAAATCACAATTTTACTTTATTGGGAAACATGATTCACCACACTGTTATGTTCAGTACAATGTGCATGACATCAGTGACTATAACATAATAAAAATGATTAATTAAATCTCTATATTGCAACAATTAATCAAATCATATGCACAAGTATGCATGCAGATATGTTAGTATATTTATACCATTATAGGAAAATTTTGAGCTTGTTAAAACTACAGTAATTTCATAGAAAATGCTATCTGTCAGCGTCAAAATTAGTATAGAATGTTTAGTTAGTGTTTCATGCAGAGTCCGAAAAATCAGATCGAAATCACGATAAACTGTAGAATTAGGTTCCATCAAAGACTGACATTCTAGCTTATGATTAGTACGTTAACACAGCTAAGCAGAAATACTATCACATTAACAGATGACCAATCTGTTTCAAGCACACTCTCATTATCCCCATTAGTTACTGAGTTCGGATAGCCACTTCCTCTTACAATAGAGGGCGAATTTCAAATCATTCGCTTAGTTGTTTGAATCTTCCCATTGAAATTTTGGAGCTACAATTGATCGGTCCTTGTCTTTTAAAAGTTTATAGGCTTACTTAAGTAAGCTTTAATTTACCTTTAGTAGGCTGTGGATGGAAATAGCAATGTATAAACAAATAACTCCGATTAATGCTCTATCTAGTATAAACTTTTAATAAGATTAGATCTTATGTACCTACAAAACGTTAACGCTCACATATTTATGGGAAAAACAATGTATATTGGGATCTTGGATAGATTGCCAAATGTGATATTGAATTAAAGTAAGAATATCAATGAAAACCATTCAAGAAAAAACATAATCATAAACAAAACTTAGTCTGGAATTATTTTTTCAAAAATAGACTCATAAAAAAATGATTTCAAATGATAGCATCTTCATGACGTGCAAAGATATCAAAAATGTAAAACTGAGGAATAAGAATTTCATTCGTTTGTAATCCGAAAACGTGATCTGACAAAAATGGTCAGGGTTTAATGTAAGTGATTAGTTATAGTGTGATTCATTTGCGAAAGCACTTCCGTAATCACTTTTATACGAAAAATCTCATTAGCTCCTGTTAATCCTCAACAGTGTTTTGGGTACAGGCATTTTTTTGGTATAAGTATCTCCTGGATGAGATTATACACAGAATAAACACCGAAACTAATTATGATTTTAATTTTTCATCTATGAGAAAGTGACTAATTAGTCTGTATTATTTTTCAGGTGCGAAAAAGGTTCTATGCAGTAAAATTGCAACTACCATTTACCAGCAGTATTGGTGGTATAGGATAAACGCCCTCATTCGGTCTCCTCAATGCGTATCTACAAGTTCAGACATTTGTAGAATGTAGGCAGTGGTTGCTTTTAACTCGGACACGAGAATATATTTCAGTGTGGTATTTAAAAGGTGACAGAAAAGTGGTTAGGATTTCTATCCTTGAATATCTACAAGATTCTAATCAGTCCATTTATCCACAGGTCCATTTTTAGGCTACTCACAAATTTCGTCCAAATCTAATGGAAACTTCTTTGTATTTAGTTTTTTAAAACACTGTAAGCTTTTTTCCATCCATACAATGAAGCTGGAACTGAGTGTAAAGAAGAAGCATGTCTTAACATTTCCATTACTATAGCCTTAAGCTATTATTATCACTACTTTCATTTCACTGACTTTGCATTTGAAAATGTCTTTCTCATTTTTCAATTATTTCTCGTGTCCCCATAATTTTGTTCTCGATTGTTTCTAATATCACTTCATTTCACCTAACTCCTCAAATACCTCTAATTATTTTGACAAAAATATTTCAGTTATCTTACTTCATTCACATTATATAATAGTATTGAAATCAATACTATCAATACTAAGATTGGACTTGAGAGTTTTAAATAAACTGAGCACCGAAAAATTAAACTACTTTATCACTAATATTGTCAGATTCATTGTTCATTTGTCCAAAATAAGTACATAAAATCATATATATATATATATATATATATATATATATATATATATATATATATATATATATATATATATATATATATATAACTCGCTGAACTTTGTGTTTTTCTAAGTTCAAGTGTATTTCAATGACAAGAACAAACTAATTTATAAAATAATAGTCTCTTTTAACCTTCATAAATAGTATCAACCACTGTGGATGATGTTGTGTACCCGAAACCTACCAATCTGATTTAGTGAATATGAACAGAAATGATTAACTTATGTACGAGCTTGTATGAAAAAAACGTGAATGCATTTATGTTTCTAGCCATCATCCTAATCCTGTGTTATCTTATTTGTAAGGTTAAATGTTTCAAACATTTTTTGCAATGTGTAACTGTCAAATAACTGATACTTTGGTGTTCAATGGAATAGTAAGTGATACTTACGGTTTATATTTTTAATTGGTAAACTAAGTTTAGTGTCTCAATGAGAAACTATAATCGGTGGTTTTGAAAAGCAATTTATTGAAAACTTCCTGTACTCACGAATCAAATCTCGTTATCAAACATGCTGCTATGGAACTAAATTAAGATAGAATACTTTTATAAGTGATCACTTAGGAAGGTATTAGACAAATTTTGTGCTGTGATAAGGTCGAAACTTATTTCGGTTAACCAGAATTATTATAGGTTAATCGGATACTGTGGATACTGCGAATATTTTCATGCTAGTTTTTCTTAATCTAATAATTTTCCAGAAAATCAATTAAATTCGTGAATGAGTAACCAGTCTAAAAATTCCTGTTAGTCTACCTTAATATACATAGACTGACAATAAGCTAATCAACAGTGGATAACCAAGGGATGTTAGTTAGGTTTCTAGAAATCAATTCAAATGATCCATTAAACAAAGTAGGTGGCAGGCAAACTGCAAACTTAATGTGATATTTTATGCCTCAAAACGTTTCTTTAAAAAATGAAATAATCCTAGTTTAATTGATTTTCAGTCGATTAAAGCATGACAGATTTATTATCTCCTGTTAATGCTTAAACTGGCGTGAAAAATACGACTACGTAATCAATACTTTACGAGATTTGATCAATTTATCCTAGAAAAAATTGTAATCAAAATAAAACATTAGTGAGTTATCTCAAAGAGTCTGTGAAGATCGGTAAAGTAAAAGCTGTCTCGATTGTGAAAATTTTTCCTTCCAAAATCTCTAGATAAGCATGAAATACAAGTCTACGAAATTGTACGTGGGAATTTACAACATCAGATAAGTGTACATTCATTTCAAATAATTCATACGAATAAATGGATTGTATACTTTGATCAATTAAGAACTAAAATTAACAAGTGTTGATAAGTATTGTAATTTATTTAAATGATACTGATTAATGAATCATAAACCTTGGTTAGCTTCTACTAAATGGTTATAACGTAACTAATTTTTCCAAGACGTATGTCAAAGACTATCTTTGCTAAAGGTAAATAGATGAAAGGAATACTAATCCATAATAATTCGCTGAAAAGTGTATCTGTGACCAAGGAAAACGTTTTTCGCTTACAGTTATATACTTACATCGTATATAATTCACCGAGAATTCGGTTAAAAAATTCACTTATCAGCAGATGTATTTTGGAACTTCATTCGTGGCGCTGATATATATTAGTATTTTGCAAAACTTTCAGTTTGAACTGATCAGTATTGTAAAATATCTTAAAATGCTATAAAGATTCAGGTCAGACTATATAAGTGATGAGAATGTACAATATTGCTAAAACTTCATAGAATTCTATTGAATTTTTTTTAAAAATTACTTACATTGTAGATATGTATTCAGATATAGCATGAGTCCAATTAGTTCAATCAGTAATAGATTTTAAATATAAAGCAATAGCAGTTCATGAATATTGTTATTTGTTATATTTGCCTGATTCCTATGTATCCTTATGTATGAACAATTTCAAAACGACGCTAATCATTATGTAAACAAATCGGCTTATAACACAACACATAGGTAGTAGTTAATTAAAAATGATATTATAGCTGTTCAGCATGCACTTCTTTTTTTTTTTTGCTATTAAATAAACCTCCTATACAATGTAAAAGGTTTTCATTCATTTAATGCATATATTCATGAGAATATAAGCAGACTTATGAATAATTTGTTTACTTATATTCATCAAACTCATTGTTTTCCTTTTCAAAATTTATCTGATAGGCTTTCATTTGAATTCGAATGTTCATGATCACAATGCACATCATGAATCTTGATAAGTAAATTGTTTAGATGAATAGGGCGGAAACAAGCTGATGGAAGAATAATAGTTGTTTGAGTCTTTTTGTCATATCCAATAATTATGGAGAATTATTTTTTTTCAGTATTGTAAAGAAA